CATTTTGTATAGTATTGGTCATATCTTGTTGATACTCTAAATGTCCTTGACTCTCCTCGAAGATTGGGTCTGGGTTCGGGTCCGTCTTCGATGACACGTCCTTTATCATCCAGCATGCCCTGGATTTCACAGCCTCGGACATAAACCAGGCCAACCTGCTCAATAAAAGGTCTCCTCCGGTCAAACTTGGTACCATACGGTTTTGTGGGATGCACAGTAATTAAAAAGCACACATCATGCTTACGAAGGCCTTCCCACTCATCTTTGATGTGATCTCTGACACTGAGATGGATGGTGACGTCTGCACGAACTCGGGTTGGCCAGTTTTCGCCTATGTTGGGTTTGGCAACCTCAACCACAGTGAAAGCCACAATGGGCTGAGCCATTCGCGCCCAGCCACCAAATACCACAGACCGCCCAGGCTCCATTCTGCTGACACTGTCTTCGATGTCCCGCCTAATTTCATAAGTTGATTCTAAGCGGAAGAGATTAAAGTTCCTTAGGAGGTAATCATGAAGAGTCAAAAACTGCAAATTTAGCTTGGGAAGAGCAAGACAACCTTCCCCTGAATAACACTCGGTTGGGACAATATTTTCATCCCATACGCTTTTCTCAGTTGGATACAAAGGCATCTGGTTCAACTGCTGAATCTGAGAAATTCGACGTTCATGACGAGATACCAGAATTCTAGAAGAAATTCTTTATCAAAAGTTGTGTCTTCGGTTTTAGGAAGAGTTGGTAACAAGCAGAGGTACGATGCCACCTGGTGGAATGTATTTGAACTAAGAGGTCCAAAGAACTTGACCAAGGATCCCCGAGTATCTACTTCTGCCACATGTGAGAGGGCGAAACCATGGAGTTCAGGGAAATGTGCAAAAGCAGCTCCCTGTAGAGAAGTGATTCTGTCACAGTGAATGGCAGCCATCTCGTTCTCTGTCAGAGCATTCCCAGTCTGGGCATTAATCTCGAAACCAGTATAGAACTGAAGCATGTCCAAAAGCTGGGAAAAGAGATGGCCATCCTCTTCCCCATGGACAAGGCTGGAAAGGTAGCAGTGAACCAAGAGGTGGGAGTCGTCCAGGATGGTATTAAACCAGCGCCTTGTGGGGGGTAGGGCCTCTAGATCAATCATCAGTTCAATGAATCTTTCACAGAATGAACTTTGTCCGTAGGGACAGGTCGGAAAGTGGGACTGACTTCAGCGCAGAGATAAACTTCCGGATGAGCTGGGAGAGAAATCTTCTTTCTTGATAGGCTTGTTCTCTTGCTTCTAGGTCCATCTTTTCATGGTTCTTTTTAATCAAGTTCCAGAATTTTCTTAGCTTAGGTGTCTTTTTTAATTCTAATTCCAAGCGTGCGGGCTGTAAGCCCATCCACATTGGGAGGGAGATAAGCTGCTGTACTGACTTCGTATCAAGTCTACTTCCAAAGTATTGAAGCAGTGATCAGGAAAAAGCAGTAAGACTGTCTGTTCATGGAGTGAAATCCACCAGCAGTTTCAGCCAATGCTGCTTTCAAGATGCACTTGAAAAAGAATGGGAAGAGAACCAAGATGGCGGCATAGGTTAACGCCGGAGTTTGCTGCCTCGAACAACCATTTCAAAAGTGTTTGT